CGAAGGCCATTTATCGCCAAAAGTGAGAATAAATTAATTGTTCTGTCACGTCTTTACCTTCGTGCTGAATGAGTCTGAAAATGAACAAAGTCAGAATATCTTGGAGAACATGTAGAGGGCTCCCTACAAAATGGCAACTGTTCCTCAATACAGTCTACTCTCGTTAGAACAAACTCTGTTAATACAAAATTCTGGTTATAACAAACATAAAGCCTTGGTCCCGACTGTGCATTTATGTGCACAATGAATGGGACTGATGTTCCTCTTAATACAAAATTCTGATATACATGTAACAAACAATTTGGCTAGGTCCAAACGAGTTTGTTATAACGAGAGTCAACTGTATACAGATTGATGGATGCAAAAACTGCATGTATATGGAGATGAATTCAAATTGTAAAAACCACGAACACTTGTACCTCGCTGAAACAGCTGTTTTTCAAGTCCTAAACATTATTTGCAAACTTGAATTAAACCTGAACCAAAACCAGGCAACCATGCCTTTCTTAATGAAGTTTTTCGCTTGTTTGGTATGCCTTCTAAACAATGAAATATTGACTGTAAGAGTAAACATTATAATAACTTTATATATTCTTTAAAGTGCATGTATGTTTTTAATTTTATTTTTGGAATTCCAGCAAACATGTGTTGGCATGCAAACTTCTGTAGATCTGTAATCTGCTTCAGATTTTGTAGGCTAATTTGGGTTTAGCAGATTGTGCGTTTCACTGTTGTCTTGTTGATGGAATCTGTAGAAATTCAGATACTTAGAAAACACTGGAAGTGGTTTACAAGGCCAACAAAATAAAAGTTCTGCTTCTGGTTACCCTACCTACCCTATTTTGACAGCCCCTACCGTAGTTTTTTTGGGGGGGGGTGGGGAAATGAGGGGAAAAACCATCAATTACTACCTTATACCCTTGACTACACGCAGACACCTCCATATGATCGTACACACAAAAAACTGCCCAAAAAAAATATTTGCCCACCTACCTACCCTATTTTCAAATGCAATGTAACCGGAAGCAGAACAGACTTTTTTTTGGCCTAAACTTGATTATGTGTGAAAATGTACACTAACCACATGTGGGCGGAGCTTCTGAGCCAAATTCAGAGGGGTCCATTATTTTACAGTGGCGCACCCACTCAATTTATTATTTTTAGTCCCACGATTTGACCATGGTGATATGTACACGTATGTGGCCTATTTTCGAGTCCTAAATGGTGCCACCAATGTCAAAATAGTCTGTCCCCCCCCCCCCCCAAAAAAAAATTCAAAGTTCTACAAAAAATCTTGCAAAAAAATTGTGAGCCCCCCCCCCCCCCCCCAGCCAAATCCTGGGTGCGCCACTGATTATTTTACCATGGCGAAGGGAACCAAGGTTTTCTTCATTCATGTAATGACTCTCTGACTTTCCAACCTTACTCAATACTGAATGATCCATTTGCTTTGTTATTCCCTTCAGTGACTGTGTAGTGATTGTTAAAACAGCTGGAAGAAGCTTATCTATGCATACTGAATACAACCACCAGAGCGAGAAATAGGATTTCTTCAAGCAAAAACTTCTAAATGCTCTTAGCTGGTATGTGTCCTCAAGCAGGCCTATGTATTTCAAATGTTAAGATTGTTTTCAATGTTCCACGTGAAACGTTCATTGCAACTTTATTCAAGAGATGTATTTTCTAATGTAGAATTTCCAACTGATTTTTTTTAAAAGAGCACATGTACCGTTACTTGTGCAATGAACTTTTATTTTAACCACATTGGGAAGAGCAGTTATTTTGTGCTCAAGATAAATATTATTTGAAGAAATGCTTCATGGAACCCTTCAGAGAAAATATCACTGTATTTTGTTGGCGATGCCCATGAATGTTAAGACAAGACAACAGACAAAAATATATTCTTTTTTGTGGGGGGGACCCAAGCGTCTCATGAGTAATGATTAAAGGATTGACAATGAAAATGGGGGGGGGGATATTCCTCGACGGCCATTGCTGGATGGCGGTGCTGATGGTTTAAGCCACATCTGCATATAACGTGTCACGCGCAGGCAGGCCGAGTGCAGAGAAAGCATCGATTAGAAGCTCCCCCTCCACCATTACATTTATTATTATTTTTGGGTCATATAGAGTCGGTTTCAACCCCTCTCCCCCCCACCCCCCCCCCCCCCACTACCAATCGTTACACACTTTCTTAAACACTTACTTGTAACTGGCGATGAGATTTAATAACAATAGACATGAACAAACAGCTGCACATCAACAGTCGTTCTTTGCTACATACTTTATACCCCCATCACACCAAACTAGTTCTCACTACGTTCTTAAAAATGTTGCCGAATGGGCTCAAACTGTGTGCGAACGGAGTGAACGTAGTAGCAACTTATTACGGTCTTTTACGAACTTCATGGACGGGCTCGGATGGGAAGGGTGCACCAGAACTTCGAGCCTGCTCAACATTTTCTGGCGGCCATCCCGTTCTGCAATTAGACGGAGTGACGACGTATTCAAAACGAGATGGACGTACTACTAACGGAATTGCCATAATTCGATCCTACTAGGGACGTGTTACGACATGGTGCAGTCGGGCATCAATTGCAGTACGTGTGCATGTTTACGTCTTGAAGTGGTGAACTCGAATGAGGACTGGCAACAATGCGCTGGGTATTTATAGCAGTCGGGCCAGGACGCGATTGCAAATTACGTTCCGCACACAATAGGGACGAGATGAGGACATGGTGAGAACAAGGTGAACTGTCTGGGAACGAGGTGGTTGAGTTAAGAACTAGTTAGAACGGGTTTGGACGTATTGGTAACGAGGTAGAACCAGTTCAGAACGGGTTTAAACTGACTACGGAGGGGCTTGGACTGCTTGGAAACGTTTTCCGCATGAGGTGAACGGGCAATTTTACCGGATCTGAACTTGATACCAACGGACTGCGGACGAGACGAAGACGAGATGGACGTATTGAGGACTGTTTATGAACGAACTAGTATCATATTTTAGACATTATTTGGCCAAAGTTACACATTCTACCCTGACCACAGCCCGTTTTACGATTTTTTTTGACGGGGTAGGACGTTTTGAGAACTACTTTGGCGTAAAGGAGGTTTTACTGCACAGTACAAGGTGCAGAGAGCGCACTCATCAGAGGCTAGTCGCAGCTCCCCCTCCCCCATTACATGGCATCAACCCCCCCCAACACCCCCCCTCCCCATCACTATGCAACTGCTCGAACACTTACTATAACTGGTGATCAGATTTAATAACAATAGACATCAACTCACATCAACAGTCCTTCATTACTACAGTCTGTACAATACAAGGTGTGTCAGAAAACTTGTTGCAAGGTGTTATAAGCACCCAGGGGATTGACATGAATACAAACGAATGATGACACAATTAGAGGGATTAATTTCCAACCCTGCTGGTGACGTTTTGTGCAGAGATTGACAAGTATTCAACTTGGGTGAAATCCTTATACAATAGTTTCTTCAGATGGGGGATTTCCAGTACACGGCTGATTTTTAGTACACGGCTGACTGCTTTGCAGTTCAGTGACCCTTTTCAGATTCCCGAGTTATTGAACTAAGCTGTCTTCTTCTTTTCAAACAGTACCGATAACAAGGCTTGACAATCAATAGCATTGCTGGTCTCAGAGAGCTTATGGCCCAATCCGGAATGGTGTATTTCTGTACTATATTATACAAATACAGCATGGTTTGAGGGGAAGTAGTTGGAATTACTGGTCCCGAGGTGTAGGTCAGCTTGACTACCTCCGACGCCAAGCGGAGGGAGGAAGTCAAGCTGACCTACACCTCGGGACCAGTAATTCCAACTATTTTCTAGAAATAACCATGCTGTATTTGTTTTACTACACCTCATAAATATTTAGTAGCCTCACTGTCTTTTTGTGACCTCACTGCCTTGTCGATAACGGCCTTCCTAGATTTTGCATTTAGCACAAATTATGAAAGTTCTTCATCACAGTATGAAATAGTCTGGTGCCAACTCTCTTTAAAGTGTTTTTACTGCAGTAGTAAAAAGGATTACAACAACAGACTGGTTCCGTAAAGACTACATGTAATAGACTACATGTCTACGAGGCGGGTTCCAGAGGGAATTTTTGGTGCTACCAGAAAAAAACTACCGCACGGCAGCGAGCTGGATACTCACCGGGATGACGTCACCTGGGCGCGTATCATTTTTACTTCCCGGACGCGTGCCGGAATCGGCCAATGACGCGCTCCAATTTGATCATGAATATTTATGAGGTGTAGTAAATGTATATATACTATGTACTGCAACTGTGGTAGTCGGATATGACATCCCCCAGCCGCAATCAGTCCTTCACGTTGGTCTTCGGCCACCTGGTAGATTTGTCCAATGCCGTCCTCGTCTGGGTTTGTAGGCTTGAGAGCCAGTAGCGGCAACGTCTAAGGCCCTCTGAGCGGGTGTGTCAGGGTCCATACGTAGGACATGGCCTAAACATTGACCATCTTTGCTTTGTGACCTTTGATGAGAGGGGTTCTTCGTTGCACAGGTCGTATAGTGCCTGGTTGCTGATAAGGCTCTTTGGCCAGCAGTGACCTGTGATGATACCGAGGTGTCTGCGGTGGCACGCATCCAGCTTGTCAAGCATGGCTTTGGGAGCTGCCCAGCTGTTGCAGTTGTAGAGCATGATCGATATGCAGTATGCGTTGTAGAGACGGAGTCTTGTCTTCTCTGTACTGGCTCTCGGCAAAAGTCTTGTCTTTTCTGTACTGGCTCTCGGCAAAAGCCTTGAAAAGACTTGATCATTTTCAAATTCTCTACCAAAATTTCAAAATGCTTGTGTCACCCTAAATGAATCTTAAAAACATGCAAGTCAAAAACAGCCAAAGTTTAACAAGAGGCCTTAACAGACGTGTGACCACAATACACAGGTGACCACAATACAAAGGTGGCCTCAAGATAAAGGCTGTCACAATACACAGGTGGCCACAATACACAGGTGGCCTCACGATAAAGGTTGCCACAATACACAGGTTTTCCTGTATACACTGACATCATAACAAGCCGGCCAGATAGTACAAGTGTCCACAATGGACAGGTCAGACGGTATCCATTGACTTACCTGAGCAATGGCTTCAAATTCCTCATGCTTCTTCTGCAAGGCTCGGGCTTTGTGCAGCGTCTTACCGACGCCGGTGTGCTTGGCCAAAAACTCCTCCCCGTAATTCTCCAACCAGTACAGCACCTAATATGAGACCATTTAAAGCCAGAGTCCATCATTTGCAGCTATTTAAAAAGTAACTGGCGTAGTTATTGTTGAAAAACATACTTGGTTGAAAGATAGTAAGGGGTAAGGGGACTTACATGTAACTCCCTGTGAAATTATTCTTTCTGGCAAGCTGTCATTTTGAAGTAATCAACAAAAGAAGGTCTTTCCAACGGTGCTTCTTAAGAAGCACCGTAGGAATTTCAAATTAGTAGTTCGTTTTGTTATTTGGCGAAGCGCGCGCAAGCATTGGCACGACGCACATGCGCACAGTTGCTATAATTTGTCGGATCAGTGCACGGCATCGCGTAGCTGCAATCGGCTCAGTGGGAACGTGTCTCAGACGCTGAATTAAAGCCCAATTCAAAACGTGATTCAGCAACTTTTGATTTGAAATCGAGATCCTAGAACGTTGTTTTTTTTCGAAATATGTAGCTAAAGCTGAGCTGAAACTTCATCAGGTTAGTTGTTCAGCACCCTTCTTTAGATTTTCAGCACGTTTGTGGGATTTTTGCGTCGGGGTGATGTAAATCAAATTAGGTTTTGCCCTTCACAGACATAAACACTGTATACTCAGTGTGTTACCTCTGAGTGAAAGTTGGAAAAAAATCACTCGGGTGGGACTGGAACCCACAACCTCCTGCTTTCTAGTGCAGATGTCTTACCACTCGACCATCGAGCTAACAGGATCGGTTGGCTGGTTGGAATCTAATGTAATTTTGCGTCGGGGAGATGTAAATCAAATTCGGTTTAAGGGCAAAACCTAATTTGAATCTCCGGATTGCCGTTCCAATGCTCCACCAATTTGAGCTATTATTATAATAATAAACAATGATAAATTTCCCTTTGCAGTTTGTTTGTAAGTTTGTAATAAAAAGCCGTATCCTCTCTGATCGATCACCGTTTGTTATTTTCCAGGTTTGCAGCATTGCTAATGTTGCTAGCACTGTGACGTAGGGTGTGATCCCTGGCTACATGGCATGTACAGGTGTATGGCTTCTGGCTGGCGCCCCTTGAACAAAGACATTGACAAAATGGGGAACTGCCAACATAGGGCTGGATAGCTCACTTGGTAGAGTACCGGATCGGCAATCCGGAGGTTGCAGATTCAAACACCACTCCCATCAATTTCTTTGTTCAACTTAATTCACACTTGATGCAAATGACAAGTACTGGCCTGAAATAATTAATCCTTTAAGACCATGTCTTGGCCATCCGGGACAAAGAATCACCAAGAGGTATGTCATGAACTTGGGTCAGGTAATAAATTTAGGGTCCCAAGCATGACATTTTTCCTGTCCCTGCTACCTCTGAACTTTGTCATTCAAGTACCATTAAAAATGACTTGAAACTTGGTAGGTAGGTAGTTTGCTATCAAAAATCACTCTTGATGCATTAAAAAGTGCCACCAAAATTAACGTAAGAAGTAACCGGGAGTGACCCACAGGGGATTTTATTAAGACTGACCTGTGCCGCGTCCTGCTGGAACACACATAGCTGGATGCGTTGGTACAGCGCCATCTTCTTAGCCTGCCACAGTTCATCCAGCTGTCGGTGGTGGTGAAGCACCTTGTGGATCAGATCCAAGACGTGACTGGCCGAGGCCGAGTAGTCTGTCTGAGCCGTGACGGAGTTCTCGCTCTCGGGACTGAGCGGTTGCTGTAAGGCGTCCAGCAACGACTTGCCGTCGGCACAGAGCTGTCAGGAAAAGGGAAGGGGAGTGTACTTTCCTTGGCTTCCACCACTGGTACTGTTGCACAAATGCCATCCAGGCTTTTGATTCACAGTCTCTGTCTGAATACAGGAGTTTTCTTTTTGATTTAAGTTGAACAAAGAAATTGACTGTTGCAGGGTTTGAACCTGCGAGCTATCCAGCCCTATGTTGGCGGTTCCCCAATTTGTCAATGTCTTTGTTCAAGGAACAAAGGGGGCAGCGAGATTTGGCCAGGATTGTAGGTGCTTAGGTTAAGGAGTGCATCAAGAATTACGTACATCATAAATCACACAAAGTGGACCCCAAATTTATAGAACAAACCACGTGGGATTTGACTAAGACTGACCTGCGCTGCTGGAGCTGATTCTTCACCTAGAAAAGATTCCCTGCACAAAAGCAGCAGCTGTAGAACTACCCACTAGCCATGTGTCACGGCATAGCACAGCTGGCAACTGCATTCCAGTGAGGATTAGCGGCCGCGGCCATGACCGCTCCCGTCTTTGAGGGGTTAATTTGCCTGCACCTTCTTAATCCCTTTTCCCTGAGCCTGGGCTTATACCGATTAGACACCTGGATTTTTAACGCACTGGCTCTGTAGTTACATTGGCTTTTGCCTCAAAGTCGAGCACTGTAAGGAATTTTTTTAATTTTTGTCCCCGAGTACTCACATCAGAGTAGCACTGGCTGATGGTCTCAAAGAGTTTCTGGTGATGATGGAGTTTGGTCTCCAGCTCTGGTATCTCCGTCGGTATCTCCTCCTCCTCCTGGCACTGCTCCGCCCAGCCATACAAATTGGACATGTACTGTGGGAACCAAAAAGGAGGGGGTTAAGATTTACTGTGACACCAATAATGATCTGCCCAGCCATACAGATTGGATATGTACTGTGGGAACCAAAAAGGAGGGGTTAAAATTTACTGTGACACCGATAATGATCCGCCCAGCCATACAGATTGGACATGTACTGTGGGAACCAAAAAGGAAGGGTTAAGATTTACTGTGACACCGATAATGATCCTCCCAGCCATACAGATTGGACATGTACTGTGGGAACCAAAAAGGAGGGGTTAAGATTTACTGTGACACCGATAATGATCCTCCCAGCCATACAGATTGGACATGTACTGTGGGAACCAAAAAGGAGGGGTTAAGATTTACTGTGACACCGATAATGATCCTCCCAGCCATACAGATTGGACATGTACTGTGGGAACCAAAAAGGAGGGGTTAAGATTTACTGTGACACCAATAATGATCCTCCAGCCATACAGATTGGACACGTACTGTGGGAACCAAAAAGGAGGGGTTAAGATTTACTGTGACACCGATAATGATCCTCCCAGCCATACAGATTGGACATGTACTGTGGGAACCAAAAAGGAGGGGTTAAGATTTACTGTGACACCGATAATGATCCTCCCAGCCATACAGATTGGACATGTACTGTGGGAACCAAAAAGGAGGGGTTAAGATTTACTGTGACACCAATAATGATCCTCCAGCCATACAGATTGGACACGTACTATGGGAACCAAAAAGGAGGGGTTAAGATTTACTGTGACACCAATAATGATCCTCCAGCCATACAGATTGGACACGTACTATGGGAACCAAAAAGGAGGGGTTAAGATTTACTGTGGCACCGATAATGATCCTCCCAGCCATACAGATTGGACACGTACTGTGGGAACCAAAAAGGAGGGGTTAAGATTTACTGTGACACCGATAATGATCCTCCCAGCCATTCAGATTGGACACGTACTGTGGGAACCAAAAAGGAGGGGTTAAGATTTACTGTGGCACCGATAATGATCCTCCCAGCCATACAGATTGGACATGTACTGTGGGAACCAAAAAGGAGGGGTTAAGATTTACTGCGACACCGATAATGATCCTCCCAGCCATACAGATTGGACATGTACTGTGGGAACCAAAAAGGAGGGGTTAAGATTTACTGTGACACCAATAATGATCCTCCAGCCATACAGATTGGACACGTACTATGGGAACCAAAAAGGAGGGGTTAAGATTTACTGTGACACCGATAATGATCCTCCCAGCCATACAGATTGGACATGTACTGTGGGAACCAAAAAGGAGGGGTTAAGATTTACTGTGACACCAATAATGATCCTCCAGCCATACAGATTGGACACGTACTATGGGAACCAAAAAGGAGGGGTTAAGATTTACTGTGGCACCGATAATGATCCTCCCAGCCATACAGATTGGACATGTACTGTGGGAACCAAAAAGGAGGGGTTAAGATTTACTGTGACACCGATAATGATCCTCCCAGCCATACAGATTGGACATGTACTGTGGGAACCAAAAAGGAGGGGTTAAGATTTACTGTGACACCAATAATGATCCTCCAGCCATACAGATTGGACACGTACTATGGGAACCAAAAAGGAGGGGTTAAGATTTACTGTGACACCGATAATGATCCTCCCAGCCATACAGATTGGACATGTACTGTGGGAACCAAAAAGGAGGGGTTAAGATTTACTGTGACACCAATAATGATCCTCCAGCCATACAGATTGGACACGTACTATGGGAACCAAAAAGGAGGGGTTAAGATTTACTGTGGCACCGATAATGATCCTCCCAGCCATACAGATTGGACACGTACTGTGGGAACCAAAAAGGAGGGGTTAAGATTTACTGTGACACCGATAATGATCCTCCCAGCCATTCAGATTGGACACGTACTGTGGGAACCAAAAAGGAGGGGTTAAGATTTACTGTGGCACCGATAATGATCCTCCCAGCCATACAGATTGGACATGTACTGTGGGAACCAAAAAGGAGGGGTTAAGATTTACTGCGACACCGATAATGATCCTCCCAGCCATACAGATTGGACATGTACTGTGGGAACCGAAAAGGAGGGGTTCAGATTTACTGCGACACCGATAATGATCCTCCCAGCCATACAGATTGGACATGTACTGTGGGAACCAAAAAGGAGGGGTTCAGATTTACTGTGACACCGATAATGATCCGCCCATCCATACAGATTGGACATGTACTGTGGGAACCGAAAAGGAGGGGTTAAGATTTACTGTGGCACCGATAATGATCAGCCCAGCCATACAGATTGGACACGTACTGTGGGAACCAAAAAGGAGGGGTTAAGATTTACTGTGGCACCGATAATGATCAGCCCAGCCATACAGATTGGACACGTACTGTGGGAACCAAAAAGGAGGGGTTAAGATTTACTGCGACACCGATAATGATCCTCCCAGCCATACAGATTGGACATGTACTGTGGGAACCAAAAAGGAGGGGTTCAGATTTACTGTGACACCGATAATGATCCGCCCATCCATACAGATTGGACATGTACTGTGGGAACCGAAAAGGAGGGGTTAAGATTTACTGTGGCACCGATAATGATCAGCCCAGTCATACAGATTGGACACGTACTGTGGGAACCGAAAAGGAGGGGTTAAGATTTACTGTGACACCAATAAGGATCCTCCCAGCCATACAGATTGGACATGTACTGTGGGAACCAAAAAGGAGGGGTTAAGATTTACTGTGACACCGATAATGATCCTCCCAGCCATACAGATTGGACATGTACTGTGGGAACCAAAAAGGAGGGGTTAAGATTTACTGTGACACCAATAATGATCCTCCAGCCATACAGATTGGACACGTACTGTGGGAACCAAAAAGGAGGGGTTCAGATTTACTGTGACACCGATAATGATCCGCCCATCCATACAGATTGGACATGTACTGTGGGAACCGAAAAGGAGGGGTTAAGATTTACTGTGGCACCGATAATGATCAGCCCAGCCATACAGATTGGACACGTACTGTGGGAACCAAAAAGGAGGGGTTAAGATTTACTGTGACACCGATAATGATCCTCCCAGCCATTCAGATTGGACACGTACTGTGGGAACCAAAAAGGAGGGGTTAAGATTTACTGTGACACCGATAATGATCCTCCCAGCCATACAGATTGGACATGTACTGTGGAAACCAAAAATGGGGGGTTAAGATTTATTGGGCATGTACTGTGGGAACCAAAAAGGAAGGGGTTAAAATTTACTGTGACACCGATAATGATCCTCCTAGCCATACAGATTGGACATGTACTGTGGGAACCAAAATAAGGAGATTAAGATTTACTGTGACACTAATAATGCTCTGCCCAGCCATACAGATAGGACATGTACAATGTACTGTGGCAACCAAAATGAGGAGGTTAAGATTTACTGTGAAAGCCCAGCCCCACAATGTTTACCAAATGCATAACCAAATGTCCAAATTTCTGTACTACAGAGGTCTGAGGACAAAAGTCTTGTGTGCACTTAAGAATGACTTGCAATGCTGGAGCATGCAAAATGGCACTGTGTAGACAATTCAGGTTGTTGCTCATAGTGGGAAGTCAGCAGGGCTTATTGCCAATGCTGGGATGGGTCCACTACCCGCTGTAACTATGTCATTTCGACCTGACCCAATTTAAAATTCTCTATGGTGTTACCACTTAATTTTTATTGAAGTGGATCACAAGTTAATCACAAGTTAATCACAAGACAACCACAATTCAGTCACAAGCTTAACCACTAGAAATCACAAGTCAGGTTATACAATATCAGGGAATTAACAATGACAGAGAAATGTCTTTTTAACATTTTCTTTTAACAGCTTGGAACTCGACTTGAAGCTTGATAACTTTTGTTACAATTGAGATGGACTTGTGAGGACTTGTGATTGAATCGATCACAACTCTCTAACTGACCTCTTCCACTTTCTGATGGAAAGCCACAGACATAGTCAGCAGTGTGCTCCTCTCATCCAAGGCTACGGCAAACGCACGCCACTTCTGGTCCAGCTTGTGGGTCAGCCGTTCAATCTGCTCAGCTGCGTAATGGCCGGACTCCATGAGGCGCGAGGCGATTCCTACAATCTGGTTGATGTGGACGTACATACCCTGTGGAAAACATTTGGACAAGGACCTGTTTAATCCATTTCAAGTGTACTACATTGTATTACATTGTATCTATTCACTGAAGAATTAATAAAACCATAGAGTACTTGGGCGGTTTTGAGTGCTACAGTGTGTTATAGTTAGGGCAGTTTGGGGCTCTGCAGTGACTGGTTAAAGCTATAGTCCATCATTTGCAGCCATCCGAAAAGTAACTGGCCTAATTATTGTTGAAAAACAAACTTGGTTGAAAGATAGTTAGGGAACTAAACTCCCTGTGAAATTATTCTTTCTGGGAAGCTGTCATTTTGAAGTAATAAACGAAAGAGGGCCTTTCCAACGGTGCGTCTTAAGACGCACCGTAGGAAAATTTAAATTAGTAATTCGTTTTGTTATTCGGTGAAGCGCATGCAAGCATTGGTACGATGCACACGCGTGCGCGGTTGCTACAATTCGTCGGATCAATGCGCGACGTCGCGTATAGCTGCAATTCAAAACAATTCAAAACATGATTCAGTAACTTTTGATTTGAAATTGAGATCCTAGAATGCTGTTTTTCTCGGAATTATAAAGCTGAAGCTGAGCTAAAACTTCATCAGGTTAGTTGTTCAGTATCCTTCATTAGATTTTGAACACTTTTGTTGCTTCAAACGAACAAAATGCACAAATTACAAATGATGGACTATACCTTTAACCCGTTAGTATGTGTACTACATTGCATTACATTGTATTTATTCACTGAAGAATCAATAAAACCATAGAGTACTTGGGCGGTTGTGAGTGCTACAGTGTGTTATAGTTAGGGCAGTTTGGGGCTCTGCAGTGACTGGTTAAGATAAAATATACAAAGGTGCGGTGGTTTATGCAGGAACCACTTCGATGTTTTTGGTCTATTTCATGGTGCTGATTACCATTATAGTTGGAAACGTTGTGCCAACTATAGCATAAAATTGTGGTAACCTTAAGTATCATTTCTTGGCATGGATGTGCATGTGGTTGTTTATGTGGAGATTTCTATTACGGCTGGTTCATGCTTCCTTTTAAATATCGGTGCAAAGCTGATTCGTTCAGGTAACGGAGAATGTCACAATGAACCTTCAGTTGCTGACATGAAATTTGCTTCGCTATCACTTGCTGTATAAACTAGCATCAGCGTCACTAATCTAAGCAACTTTTCCTGTTATAAGCATGCCTTTTGCTGAACAAACTGCTAACGGTCTCCATGAAAAGGATAAAGACTCTGTTAGCAGACGATTACGTGCTTAGCCACATGCAGCACACTGAAATCGGGCCCAGACTTACTTGATGACACATTAGCTTCCACTCCAGTTTACAATTTACAAACCCTGATCTGTTAACCACATTTGGTTTTTCATTGTTTCCACGAAAAGTGTAATATCCAATGGGCGAAAATATCAACAGGTTAGGTTTTGAACATTCTTCTTTGGATTTTGAGTGGAGTTATTATTGGAAACGAACAAAATGCATCAACAGCAAATGATCCCCCATGCATTTAATACAATAATCTGTTGAACACATTTCAAATGTGGTACAACACTTGTAAGTATATCTCATGCTTTCTTAAAGTTGCGGCATACACACGTTTTGACAACCCTAAAAATGGGGGGGGGGATGGTGTTTTTCTTACTGACCATAGCTTGGGTAGCAAAGCGGTTGTGTTCTTCCTGTAACTCCTCCCCAGTCTCTGACAAGGTGCCAATCTCGGTGTGGTTGAGAAGGAACAGTTCCTTTTGATGGGCCAGCCATTCAAACATCTACACCAAAAAAATTAAACAATCGACTCAACAAAATTCATTCATAAAATTCATTGACCTGTATCATCTTAACTTAGGAAAATTTATGTATAAATATATGAATCGTGCATTACCTGCTTGTTTTAACCCCTGTTTTACACTTACTTCAAACATTCATTCCTATAATACCCGCAGTACTACTAGGAAAAATCTGTATGTTAATTATTGTAGAACGACATTGTCCAAAAACAGTGTTGTCCAACGTGGCACTCTATATTGGAATAGTCTGGATAACACTTTTAAATCATCACCCACTCTCTCTATTTTTGCTAGAAAACTAAAAAAATCAATTTTTAATTGCATACTAAAACAATGTAATAGGGACAACAACGGCCTTGATTACTGTCTTACACCGGTGTCTGTGCTCTGTCTTTCCATGTATGTCTGTCACTTGTCTGTCTGTCCATAGGCTGGGGAACAAAAGCTTATGCTTCACCCCGGACCTAGATGCTGCCATTTAGTTAATGTTCACTATTGTAAATATATATATATGTACATGTATTGCCAATTTGAATATATAACATTATGTATCGTCCTTTATGCAGCATCGAAATAAATGTATGTATCTTATTTCTTATATTTCAACAATTAATTAAAGTGATTTGGAGTATTACTGGCTTCAAGTCACAAGTAAAATGAATGAACGGTTCATACCCTGCTACTTATGACTGGACTTTTGATATGGCTCGTGTGTACTTGTGACCCCATCACAAATATCTTAAGTAAATAACTTTTTTTGTATTGATTAATAGCAATGTATACGATATCACCAGTTAATAAAGACACTGTGACGGTATCGCAAGATCCTGATACGAGCTCTGTAATTTAAGTCCCAAAAAGGTACCTTTCCTATTTACATCACCAAATTACCTTCTGAACATCTTGTTCAAACAATCTGAGTTCCAGACACTGTTCCAGCTTCATCTTCCTGATCTGCCAGAGTTGGTGCAGCTGCTGCCTGGTGGCCGTCACACTGTCCATCATGCGATTGACGCGGGGTACCACACCATGGAAGTCGGCGCTGGCCGCTATGCTAGACATGCTGGTGAAGCTGCCGTGGGAGCTGCCTGAGTAACCCGAGTCGGTGGTGGTTGACTCGTCGCCGTTGAAACCACTGCAAATTCTGTTCCAATGAAGAGTTGACTTTTTTACATTTAAGCACAGTAACTTTAATGTGAAGGATCTAAAGCATCTTAAAACGTATGGCTCATGAAAGAACTCTTGAGAAAGGTGTGCAATTTATGTTTAAAGGGCACTTTGTTTTCAATCAAGTATACACAATATTTCTACAGTTTTATCAAGACCACAACTGTCAACTATTTCCTTAGGAAATAAAAAACTGCTGAAAACCGCTTCAGTTTTGTAGTCAAGTCGATCACAAATCCATCCATCATATCAAAAGTAAAGCACAGTTAATTTACAAGCCCCTTCACAGGTAAAAGGGGTGAACAATAACAAAGGAATGCCTTTGTCAGAGTTCAGTTCTATAACTTGTGACTTGGCCTTGGACTGTATGACTTAATAGTTACATGACCTGATGTTTCAATTCCTAGAGCAACCTTTAGCAAAAGCATTTTGCACCCCAGAAAGGTCCTACTAGGATTAGGCAAAAAAAAAAAATACTCGGTCCCTGGTCAGCGCGCGCGTCGATTTTAATCATGCGCGTCAACCTTTTTTTTTTCTTTTCAAATTAACACGGAAGCTACAACCGCGCCCTCTATTGCCGCGCCTCCTTAAATTTTTGTACCAAGGAGCACCAAGGAATGGGGAAATTGCACCAAGGCAAATGATAAAGGGCACCAAGGCAAATGATAAAGGGCACCAAGGCAAATGATAAAGGGCACCAAGGCAAATTATGGAGGACACCAATGTATAATGAGGACACAAAAAAGCAAAATAGTACCCACCTTGTCTGTACAATACAAGCTTGAAAAAAAAAATCCACCAAAAAAAAAAAAAATACCGCGTCACCGCATCAATTCCGGAAGAACTTCGGTCTGACCAGAGACCGACTATTTTTTTTTTTGGCCTTACATCAAACTTTTAGTATTGGATCTACACAAGAACAGTTCCTGTGAGTCAAAGTCAAGTGTTCTAAACTCTTTGACAACAGAATGAATTATCCTTATCAGACACATGTGCTGCGACATGCTAATGTGCAATGACGTCCTGGCCAATATATTAGCTAGTCATATACAGACAGATATCAGAGTTTCGAATGAGCTTGAGGTGGGAGCTAGCCTTTCTAGAGTTTATCCATACTGCATTCTCTTTGAGATAATACTTCTGGTTCCTCTGGGAAGCAAAAAAGATCCCTTTCCGAGTTAGTCCCTTCGAATGATGTATCCACATGCTTCTCCCAAATGCTAATCTGCAAATCACATTCAACTCACGTGAGTCTTTACCAATGATGACTTTTAATATTCCTTTACCCGATGAGCACTAATAATAATAATAACTAGAGGTTCGCGTTTGTTGTTACAAACGCAGAATGGTCGGGCAGGCAATTTGTTCATTAAACACTGCCGAGTTGAGTTATGAATATGTTTATGTAAGAACAAGGATCACAAAATTAGATCCTTTCCAGTACAATCAATTATTTTGTTATAAAAAAAATGCATCTTTAACGGTGTGATAAATTTTAGTAAACATTCTATGTACACATACAAGTTATTTCTGGCTTAATGGCGTCATTATTCAAAAACGGGAAGTGAATACTGTTTAGTTCGGAGTGGATAAATGTTCGTTGTGAAGTTAAATATAACTGTATGCATTCATAACACCTAACTCCAGTTTGATGACGTCACAGTATTTGGAAGCAAAAGGTAAACATTGTAAGGGATATCGTTATTTGGGCTACGAAGATATACGACATAAATCAAATGATATAATTAAATTTAAAATATTATCGTTTTCAAATTCTCATAGAAGTAACTTCCGGTCTCATGACGTCATGAATTTGAAACCTTGCCAAATTATCTGTGGTTAATCAAAGAATATCAAGGGGCGGTTTTGTGAAATTTTTACGGATGGTTTTCAAATTAAAGAAAGCAAACACTATTTAATATGCCGCTAGGGGGCGCCCTTTTGAAAGATGACGTCATCACACTGTTTTGTGTCTGGCATTCCTCAATAAACACTTTCAAAATATATATGTGTGTAGTAAAATGCTTCCCCTTTTGAGTTATACTCGGTTTTTATTGCACTTCCGGTAACACCGGAAGTGAAGGTCAAGCGGTTTTGTGTGCGGGGACAAGAATTGTTTCTCACAGCATAGTCTACAACCTCACGAAAAAACAAACACGATACTATATTTAGTTCAAAAGATATAGCGCAAACTATTTCGTAAAAATTTGCCCTTAAATCACTTGTAATTTGATACCTGATGACGTCATGATGACGTAACAAAATATATAGTATCTTCGTAACGTGATACAAATTCACACTAGGTTTTATGATCATACCGTAAACTGTATGGAAGAAATTTTGCTTTGTTTTGATTTCAGGCTAAAGTCTTCATTTTGAATTCACCTAACTTTAACCTTCCGGTTGACCCGGAAGAAGGGGTCAAGTGAGTTCACGTACACGAAAATGTTTATCAATTCATGGTCTATCTTACTACAGAATATAAACATCACTGATTATTTTGTTCAAGAGTTATGGGTGAAGGTATTTGACCCTTTTCCAGCTAAAATCGCTTGTAATTTGACACCCGATGACGTCATCATGACGTCAGAGTAATATGCACCACTTCGGATGAGGGTCGATATATATTGCAAGTTACAAGTTCATACCGTATACCGTTTAGGAGAAAACCCGCGGAGAAGTATTATCCGGGAAAAAAAAAAAAAAAAGATTTATTGTAACAGATCCAAAGAGTGGTCGGGTTGTGCCCGACCACTCAATAACAATCATTACCGGGAATGGGTCATTTGGGAGACATTCCCATAGACTTGTGCCCTAACCCAATATTCCCTTGTCCTATTTCCACAAATTTCGGTATTTTTACTAATTAGACCACGAGCAACAAATATAACCTGATTGCGACAGTAAAATTTTGCCTCTTAAGGGGGGCTGTGGAATTAGGGAGACATGAAAATGTCTCCCTAATGACCAGTGTCTCCCTATTGTCGAAGAAATTACGATAACGTGTCTCCCTAATGGCACATTTGTGGGAATAATAATAATAATAATAATAATAATAATGTGGAGCTTATACAGCCCCTTATACCTTTCAAAGCGCTTCACAATTATTATTCTTGTTCATCAGGAATGAGACCATTTTTCTGCAGCAGCTCGAGATCAGCGCAATGTGGTCTCTACCTTCACAGGTACCAGTTTATACTCCTGGGTGGACAGAGGCAATGGTAATAAAGTGTCTTGCCCAAGAACACAAGCACCATGTTCCTCGTCAGGGTTCGAACCCACGTAAACACAGCACATAAATCGAACACCATAAACCATTGGACAACAGCGCCCAAACACTCTAGCCCGACCACTGCTACATGTAACTCCTAGAGGTTATCCTTAACATACCTCCTAAGAAGCTTCTGTCCGTCCTGGTTGATCTGCTCCACGGGGATCTCCATCACCTGTTCCCGCAGGTGCGTGTGCTCCTCAATCTGCTGCTGAGCGCCCTGTATTGTCATGGAGAAGTTAGTGCAGTTCATGTCCCGCTTCAGGTGGTCTTGGCGGTGCATGAGCTCCGAGGCCTTTGTCAGGAAATCCTCCACGGCCTGGAAGGGAGGGGAAAGCCAAGTTAAAGAAAAAAGCAAAATTGGCAAGCCTGATAAAGCTAGTCCCAGATCAATTTGGTCTAAGAGGCCTAGGCTTCTAGGGGTGTGGGCTAGGGGGTCCTAATGGTCCCAAGAGACGTTTTTGGCCAAGGTGAGACTAAAGCAGTCTAAGAGAACACAAGGCTGGCCCACTAGGCCAGCAAATATATTAGGGGTTCGCTAGAAAGCTCTGGGGAATCAGGTTGGCATAGGGGTACTTTCCTCACCTTTCACCGCTGTGGCCCTGGTTCAAATCCCGCCTGGGCCAACATGTGGATTGGGTTTTCTGTCCCCACCTGATTCCGTGGGTTTTCCCAAGAATACTCTTCTGGGGTTTTCCTCCCACACCTAAAACTGTAATTTCTTCTCACTGTCTTCTCTTTGCTGAGCCCCATGGGAGACCAGAGGTTTCACTGAATGGGCTGCCCAGTTAAAATAAGAATTAAAGAAATAAATATCACTTTGACTCTGAAAGCTGCTGGGCATCTATGTCAATTACCCTGTACACATGGTGATAAAAGTTGCCAGACTACGTGTACATCTTTTTTTTTCTCTCATTGGTTTGTGGATGATGCTAGTTGATGTAAATTAAAGATGTACTGAATATGGAAGAGTCTAGCTGACTCATAAACTAGGACTGAACAAGTGTTGTAGTCCAACCCTTTTTCTGAGTCTGACAAGCATACCAAATGTAAGGTGATGTAGGAATTGAGCCTAGTGGTTGGGATACCTGGGCTTTCAATGATGGGTTTGGAGTATTTGGACAAAAAGGTATACAGAAAAGTGTAGGATTGGGACCCGAGTCCGGGTACCGTACCTTTTTAACAATTTTGAAATAAAACTATACCAACCATTCTGAGTTGGATCCACTCTTCGTGTTCGTAGGTTAATGTGCCGTCCAGTTCAGGTGTGAGTTGTGAGGGGTCGATGACCTTGTGCAAGCTTTCCTGGGATATCATGCTGGTCTGTTGGAGGTGGAAAATGGGTAACACCGAAAACACATGAAGACAATTGCTGAACAATTAAACATTCAATTTGAAGCTTATGATAGTAATGAATTTCTAACTTATAGACCACTATAGGCACCCTAGCAATGGCGAAGGCCCCCTACAATGGCAAAAGTACTCTGCTTTATTTAGATAATCCATCATGGAGCAGCTGCTTTGTACATTAGCGTGCACAATGGTTTCTCCATTGAAGGGGGCCTTGCTAGTGTACAGTGATCACATGCCTGGAATCGTTGAAAGCGTGATCTTGAAAGGTTTTCCGCCAAAAAGCACATCAATGTGCTTTACTGCATTATTTGTTGAAAGGCTATCCTCAAAATCCTTGCGTGCATATACTGTATTTCCTTTTACACGACACAAACACTCAAACGGAGAGCACACAGTAGTTTTCAAAATTGCGACGTAGACAATCAAGTCATGTTCATAATTTAATAATAATGAATAGAATGATGCAACGCTCACTATGGTTCGAGAAATTTATCATTTATTCTCTTCCATTCCATACCTTGTACATGTAGGTTCAACTTGCTCTCAGATGTTAAGAAAGAAACGTTAGTTGGTTACTTCAAACTTACTTCAAACTTGAGTTTGGAGCTGCCCAGACTCGTCCTGTGTTTCTGCCAGAATTTCTCAGGCTTGATGATGTGGACTATGTGGATGTGGTCAGGTATGCATTCCTGCAAGGAAATGATAGGATGTTCAAAGAAACTAGAGTCAATTATTACTCAAAATTTCAAAATGCTTCTCCAATTTGTTGAAGGAATCTGAATGCTTTTCCAACAATAACGAGTAAGGGTACTTTAAATGGAACATGGTACATGAACATTTTACCAGTCCCTAGCAACCAGCAGCCGATTTCACGAAACTTTACGCAATGGCGTAACTCCACTTGCGCCACAATGTACCGGTATTGCGTAATTTGTGCAACACTTCACAATGCGCAACATTACAGTAACAATGATTTCACGAAAGTTTCATAGTAAGTAAGTGCACAACTTGCCCAACAAATTTTAGGTGGTGTAAGTTCTGGCGTAGCGACTGACAAGGAACTATTTTACTACCAAATCGTTATCGTTGTGGAGCCTGTCATTGAAGAACTAATCAAGGTTGATGCAAGACATTAACAGGCAGATTGAGGTAAGTGAATTTCTATTTTATTTGTGACAGAATTTTAAGACTTTCTGCAGGATTCCGAAGAAGTGGGACAAAGTTATTTTCAAAATGGCAGATGGAGGTTTATTCAACGACTATTTCTAGACCGAACAAAATCATACACAAACAGGGGTCATACGGTAAATGCTGGTATTATCCTCGTCCAAGATGTTTGGATTATTTCAAACGTTGCACAGCTGCGCCAAATTTTGGAGTTTAGGATCATTTCTCCGAATCATTAACCCTCCTACTCTGGCTGGCAATTTCAACAAGGCTAGCCCAGTAGTCAAAATAAATCAAGTGACTGTTTTCAACAGTTGAGTGCTCCCTGCCTTCATAAAGCAGGATTGACTGGCTGTGATTGTTATGAAACCTAATATAGCTATGCTTTGACTGTAGGAGATTGATAAGCCGGATGTGCCTACCAGCAACCTGCTTTTTGGAAAGTCACGGTGCCACTTGTATTATGATCTAACTGTTGGTGACTAGCGTGATGACTAGCTTGTGTTAAAGGTATAGTCCATCATTTGTAATTAGTGCATTTTGTTCGTTTGAAGCAACAAAAGTGTTCAAAATCTAATGAAGGATACTGAACAACTAACCTGATGAAGTTTCAACTAAGCTTCAGCTGTACATTCCGAGAAAAACAGCATTCTAAGATCTCAATTTCAAATCCAAAGTTACTGAATCATGTTTTGAATTGTTTTGAATTGCAGCTATACGCGACGTCGCGCACTGATCCGACGAATTATAACAACCGCGCGCGCGTGTGCGTCGTTCCAATACTTGTGCGCGCTGCGCTGAATAACAAAACGAACTACTAATTTAAATTTTCCTACGGTGCTTCTTAAGAATCACCGTTGGAAACGCCTTCTTTCGTTGATTACTTCAAAATGACAGCTTCCCAGAAAGAATCATTTCACAGGGAGTTTAGTCCCCTTACTATCTTTCAACCAAGTTTTGACTTTTTGACTGATTGTGACTGATCAACCAAAGGGAGGGTTAATGATCATGGTTAATTGGAAATGTCACAGACATTACATTTTCTTCCGTAATGCTGGAATTGCCCTACTCAATAAAGCAACCGCCCCGTGACAGATTATCTTAACAATAGCTAGAGCGATGCTTTTGCCATTGAAGGGGGCTTTCATGAGCGTACATGAGTGTTCATGTGCTCGGAATAGTCTATGTTTGGTTATAAAGGAAGAATTCATACATGTACTAATCATCTTGACGGAAGAAATTTGTAGTGTTTGTTTTAGAAGTCGGAAATTGATGCTTTGGGTACATAGGGTATCTCCGACTGCTATAAATCACATTGCGGGAATGGGCTCACACCATGGGCAGAGCATAGGGATCAAAAATCCATTGCTAGCATATATCTCGAGTGTCAAGACATGAGCATGATGTGAGAATGTGTTTAATGAGCAATGAAAGACTGATATACAGACCAAAGGCAAATAACTCAACTGACTGGCATGCCTAGGATAGGAGTGAATGGCCATGGTGAATTATGGCCCTATTTGGGAAGGTTTTATGCACTGGTGTAAGGTCATTATCCCCTTCAATATGCAATCTTGCATTTACTCACACTTCATGGGGAAATTTCAAGATTTCAGTCATCTGAAATGTTTGTTTAACTTTATCTGCTCTTGGCGCATTACGTAAGTGATTCATTTGTGTATGTTAACTGACTCTAACAAAATTGTCATACTTTATTTGGAAACGAGTTTCTCCTTTCCTTGATAGGAATAACAATATTTCAATTATTGCTTCAAATGTTATTGGTCATCCAGTGCAAATAATTATTTGTAAAGCTTAAAGGGAATATATACAACATTTGCTTTTGCTGTAATTTTTAGAAATAGATGGATTTGGGGATTAATATTTTATGGCAATTGTTACACTGACTTGTTTGAAGTTTTGCCTTCGTAGATGCAGGAAAAACCAAGAAAAACAATCATGTTCTTGTAGTCCAGTTCCCTGACCCCACTTAAACTGATATGGAGCAATTTACAGACGTCGGGAATTGTAAGGTCAGGGAACCAGTCTAGAAGGCTTGTACCCATTCATGGATGTTTAATCAATTGCAAATATAATTCAAACCAACTAAATATGGTGAATTGGAGGAAGTATTTGAATAAAGCCAGGTTTTTATTGGTCAGCCGACCACCGTTGGAAATTGATAAAAAATACTTTTTGCTGATCAGCCACCCACCGTTGGAAAGTGATAAAAAAAATACCACCATTCTTGAAAATGACAGCACACCAGGTGCCATGATTTTATGGGATGCTTTAGACTGTCATTCACTAACAGTCCAGCAAGGTATTTTGTAATAATTTGGTAGTTTTGTTTTATGATGTTTGCAAATGTTATATATTCCCTTTAAGGTTCCAAATTTGTAAATATTTTTTAAGAACTTTAATCCGTCTTTCATGTACATGTAGGTACCCAAACATATTTATTTACTACAAGTAATTTGTTTTACCGTAACTTTGTATACTATGTGCTGAACTATCAGTCTACATTATTAAATCTAAAAATTAATGTGGCCTGACGTTGCGAACTTAGCAAGTTCTTCTTTCATTTTTTTCAGTCTACATTATTATCAGACATCTAACAATCCTTTTCCCCTTTTTACTCCAAATCAGAGAGACAGTTATGAGTTAAGTCTGTCATTCATCAGGCGCGGCACGTGTGGCATGCATTCAACGCACCGATGAACTGTGTCATGTACGTCCGCGAACTGAGATCACAGTGAAAGAGGTTTGGGCCAGAACAACAAAAAGGCACGGTTTTGCTCAGAGCTTATGATGATCATAGTTCTACATAGTTCTACATGTATATAACACATGTGATGCAATAAGTAGGGCACAGCTTTGTGACAATACAATGGGCTTGGAAGCCTGGGATGAATTTTCATGATTTAGTTACAGATGTCCTTCACATGAAAACATCTCAAAGATGTACTATTTGATCGTAATTATTCATATCTTAACTGACTCCCCTGGAATGTATAAGGCTGCAGCAGTCTTGTCATACATGTACATATAACTGGCTATTTCACATTTCATACGTGAGTCTTTGCAAAAACTGATGGCTACACATTTAAAATCACATAAAAGGAAAAAAAACAAATCTTAAATTTCGTTTTTTCTCAATAAACCGGGATTAGTCTTTCAATCACATTTTGCAAATTCTGATAAACCTAAACCCCAAACCACTTGGCATTCCAACGAACTTTCCTAAAGTTTCCTACAACCCACCGCTCTGCACAAAATCAATGGCTGTACCGGTACTTTAATCTTTCTAAGGGCATCAAGTCATATGTGAATTAAGAGATAGTGTTGGGCTATACCTTCCTAAATCCTGTATGTTGAAGAAACTGGGGAGTTGGAGAAATCACAGTGCCTTTACTAAAGAGAATTGTATTGCTGTGTTGTTTTTGTTTTGTTTTGTTTTTTGAGGGGGTGTGTTTTATTTTTTTATATTATTTATGGAGTTAAATCCCAGTCGACCCATCACTTAAATTTGATCTGGAGAACTCATACTGCATACTAAAGAGTATTTTATTTCTGTGTATTTCATTTGGGGGGTTATGTCTTTGGTTTGTTTATGGTTTTAATTGAGTTTTTACCCATCAGTTAGATTTGACCTGGTGTTACCATCATAATGTCGCTTAGCACAGAACATTTTTGCTTAGCAGAAACTGGTTACCAGCTAAAACATCATGTTTTGTACACTGCTTGTGACCGGTACTCTGCAGATTTTTGTTAAACAAATAAAATTGCTAAGCAAGACTTTCTGCTGAACAGCTCCTGGGGCCAATTTCACGGAGCTGCTAAACAAACAAATTTGCTTAGCACAAAATCTGGCTTATAAAAGCAGGTTACCAGCCAAAACTCCATGTGATGTATATTGCTCGTCACTAGTACTCAGCTGTTGTTTGCTATAGCGTGAAATCACATGAAGTTTTGGCTGGTAAACTGCTTTTATAAGCCAGGCTTTTTTTGTGCTTAGCAATTTTTTTGCTAAGCAGTGCCGTGAAATTGGGCCCTGAGATTGATGCTAAGCATTTTTACCTGTAAGACCTTGAGGACTGGTTTGATGTTACTCCAGGTGGATCCTCTCATGTCAATGATGACAGTGAAGCCTAGGTCCCTGGCCTCATCACTGCATGGGGGAAGAAGAGATAAAACGCAACAATTAGACATGGTCAAGTAAAAGAAAAAATAGTTTCTTGTCTGAGCTGTTTTAAAAAAGGGAGGAGGCTGCCGGTTTTTTATTTCCCAAGATGGCAGATTCTCCAAGATCAATTCTTCCATTCTCTTGACTCTTTTACTGACACTTTTTTTGTGTTCAAAGGAGCCTTCTACCAGATTTTAAACTTGCATACATACATGTAGCTATAGTTTTGCTGGAGAAATGTAAACCAGACAAAAATTTATATTTCAAATGAAGGATTGAAAAAAAAACAGGAAGGGAAAAAAAATGAGGCGGGAGGGAAAAAAGGGAACGGGCAGGGCCTAGAAACTGGGGTTTTTTTTTACTTGGCCTAAGATGAACATCTCCAGAAACCACACAAAGATTAGAAGACATTCATTAAAATTCCATCACATTGAATATCTGTAAGTTGTGGAGGTTGTGTGGCGTCCTTATTTGGTCAAACCCACACAAATGCATCAACAGTTAGACTTATAATGTACTTTAATTGCTCACTATCTTTTCGATTCAATCTTGGTGAAAAAAATACTCATACTCAGGTACTCATACATATATGTACTTACAATACATTTGCATAATAAGCATTGTATCCATACTCATGCTTGCATGTGCTCATGGTAAACTACCGTACTTGTATTTATTACTCTTATTTGTGGATACATGTTATTACTTATACTCGTACTCACGAAACAACGAGAAATGGTAATATACAACCAAAATGGTTTACACGTATAATAAATAAAAGTTTTTATACGTTTTAGTAAAGCTTTTATACATGTACTTGCACACGTACTACCAGTATACTGCACATTATGTGGAATCACTATCGGCTGTACAGGAACAGTTCACAAAATGCCATTGGCTACAATTTGTAGCAATTGATGATCAACATAAAGTAACTGGATTTTCCTGTAACCATTGGAGTTAATTTCTGTGCAAGGCAAACATGTATGTATACAGCAACATCCCAAAGTTGAAAGAACAGTCAGTGACACGCAAATGTACCGGTACATGTACCGGTACGTACAATATACTCTGCTTGTAATTTGTACTATTATGAATACATGTACAGTACATGTACATGTACATAATTTACGTGCAAGCGTCTTTCTGTCTCCATTATTTCAAGAAGACCCTACAAATGTCAGGCCAAATTTAGAATTCCTTGAATCATATCAATGAAGAGCTCCGTGCGCTATGCTAAGTGTGACACTCATGTAGACTTCAGACTAACTTAAGATTCCTTCGCTCGTCTGACTTCAGCTTGGTGTCAGCTAGATGAATGAAAGCGTCGGTCAACGCCGTCAAAAATTAATGAAGTCTAGGATATGGCTTATTTTAAGCTGTTTATCATACTGGTATCTAATCACATGTTGTAGGGATCTGGCTAAAATTTTATTTTAAAATAAAATAAATTTAAATATTCTACCCTTAGGGCACGTATCATTTATTCATTTATTGCTACAACGAAAAAAGAAATTGACATACAGTTCATGATGTTTAGCAAACTGAGTTGGGGAACACGTGCAGATCCCTAGATGTACAATGTAACTGGTACATATCGGTACATTGTACGCATACTGTATACAAGAATCCATAAATTTCAAATTGCATGCTAAGAATTGGTTTAAAAAAACTTGAACAAACAAACTAAATATTTTATGCATTATACGTGTAACAATATAAAGGACAACATTCTGTCGAGAAACTGCAGTTGTTGTATTTCTGTTTTTCCCGAGCACGCTTGTTGATTTATGTCTCCTGATATGAATACATAATCCATATGCCATTATGATTAGTCTTTTTCTGGCAGTGGGCCAAGGTTTGTTAAAAGCTAATATCGTTTTACCACAGAGTGTCGCGTGTCCTAAAAGTCATTAAAATACGAGGATGAAAACATCACTTGATGATCATTCTGAGACTAATGCATCAAAAAAAAATAGTCATTGAGTAGGTTTTTTTTTACTTGGATTTAAAAAAAAAAAGATTAGACTAATTGCATTGGCATTGGAAGGCATACCGGTATCATTAAGTGCCCACTCAATTTTTCAAAGGAATTCATGTACGGTAATTGTTGCTTCCCCAACTCCACTTTTGTGACCAAGCTCCTGAATTTGTTTTGTGCCACCCTGCCAACTTACATAAAACAGTCCATTACTGCTGCACATCAGCATCTACAAGCTCCAAGGCAAAGAAATGTCCACAAAGCCAACTGGACTCCCCTTAACTATAAGTCTCCTTTCATAAAAATTTATCTCAATCTGATACCACTGTTAGGGTGTCTTTTAGGGGCGTTCTCCACTTATACCAAATACAGTCGAGTCTCATTAATACAAACTCGTTCGGACCTAGCCAAATTGTTTGTTATATATCAGAATTTTGTATTAATAGGAACATCAGTCCCATTCATTGTGCACATAAATGCACAGTCGGGACTAAGGCTTTATGTTTGTTATAACCAGAATTTTGTATTAACAGAGTTTGTACGAACGAGATTCGACTGTACTCGTATATTCGATCATCAACCAAATATTCGATAAGCTTTAAGCCGGTTTGAATATTCGAAAGCAAAAACTACGCACACACTGTATATACACGACTGTGTTGTTGTTTTATCTTAAAATGTTGGCACTTTATTGTCAGGTGCCACTTAGACAGTAACCTTTTTGGTCGATGGTGGTTCATCATTTTGCAGTAATAAAATACTTACTGCAAAATACTCCAGCAACCCAAAATCGATCGCCAAACACAAATTTCAACCGGCGCGCTCTTCATGCGAGTTTTTACCTGGCCAGCACACATTTGCAGCTAGCAGTTTTGAAAATTCGGTCAAACGCAGTTTCAAGCAATCAAATACTGAATGATTGGAGAATGAACAGCCCTGCAGTCTTTTCACTTTTCCAAATACCATCCAGTCCAAAATTCTATAATTTTGTCAATATCATTGAGACCATTTATCAGTAACACACACACAAAATGAAGCGGAAAGAAAGTAACTCTGATGGACACCTAAACATTGACTCCGAAAAATGTAGACCTGTGTTTTGAACATCATGAACAATGGAAATAGACAGATGAGATTTGAAGGTTTGCATGGTGGAAAGATACTAAGACAAGATAAGTTTGCGGTAGCACCATGTGAATAAATCTCTTTTGTGAGTATGTGTGGTTCCGAAAAGAACCGGAGGGACTCCATGTTTCGAAAAGTATGCTCTGCCCGTCGTAATAGACAGATCTACAAAATGCTCAAAGTTTCCCTCTTGTTTGTGTGTGTCCGTTATGTTCTTGCAGTACAGTTGAAAGCAGAGTCTTCATAAACTGGTTCAGGTGAACCACAGAAAATCCTTGGCCCCACTCAGTCAAAGACAATCCCATTCCTCCACACGCTAGCAAACTGTAAATGATTTTTAATTCTCGGCTCTCGTTATCAAAATTGAAAATATTGATTATCTTCTGCTCCAGTACTCGTTTCAATTAGCTGGCGTCAATGGACATTTACAAATCTGAGGACAAAGTCACACTGTGGCCGCAGTGAATATGAAGTGCTCGCAGTGAGTGTGATTCGGTACCACGCCTGGTGAGTTCGGCGGTGCAATTATGGGATTAGGAACCCGCTACCGGTAATTATTCTTGTTCAAATAACCATTCCAGACGCTGAGGTGGGTTTGTAAATAATCATAACTGGATTGACGCGGTGTTGTGTTTATTTACTTTTGCATGCTACTTGTGCGTGGGTTTTGACGAGACAAAAAAATTGGTGTTATGACGGTTGGCCAGTAACGACTTAACTATAGATAAGGAATGGGCTGATGATATTGCATCTCTTTGTGAGACCAAATTGCAATGAGCTTCATGAGCAAATGCCCCACAAAATTTGAACTGCAATTTTCCAAATTAAAAAAAAGGAATCAAGTAATTCAAAACGAGATGATAAAATCTGTGCAGAATATTATATCACGCCATGAAATAATGAATTCATCAATCATTTTATGAGTCATAAATTATGAGTAGCAAAGTAGCTGTCAAGGTTACATGTAGAGATAATGATAATGTAGAGATAATGATAATGGAATCATTATATCAAACACATCTCCACCTCCTCCTAAAAAAATTATCAAGTCAAAGATTCTTTTCACATTTTGAAATTGTTGACTCTATTGTATACACTCACTGAAAAAGTTCTATGAATATGATAAGGTTAAATGTACATGTATGATTTAAAAATCCTGAAGTCAAACATTCTGCTCTCAAATCAACAGAAAGCAATGGTCTACGTGACAATCTGGGATCCAAACAGGATCCATTTCTGAGAGACTCTCCATCTGTGTAAATGTCAGGACGGCCTAGGCAAGCTTGCACACGGGCCACAGAGGCATGTTGTGTCTATATTTGCCCAGCAACTTGCGTGGGTTCTCTCTTCCCCCGATCAAGTGTATAACATTTGTAACTTGTTAAGCCTTTTTTCCACAAAAACATTTTTAATTATTCTTTCTTAAGTTGCTGCCCCCTGATCTTCAACAAGTACATTTTTTTTCTATCAACTTTTCAATTTGTATTTTCATTGTAAGGATTTTTTCTTTCTATTTTGTGCTTCTGCAACCCTCCAAAAAAGGCCGTTAAATTATCTGGGGTTGGTTTTGAAGAACTAACACACATAAAAGATCCCCCTGAAACGGTCACACCGCAAACAATTCAAAATTGCTGTGCATGGGCAACTGGGCTCCATTTCTTGGCTCTGCTTACTGTAAGCTAAAAATTCCTGATTATAGCAGAAAATTCTGGTTAAGCACATAATGGTGACCGTAAGCGCGGAATTCTGTGGTTAGCAGAGCCTTCAAATAAGTAGAGCCATCTGCTAACCACAGAATTTGGTGCTTACGATCACCATTTTGTGCTAACCGCACCAGCAGAAAAATTCTGTGCTAACCCTGTAAGCACAAACCCTTATTTAAGGGATGCACACATGCGCAGAAGCCAAAATTCACTTACCGTAAGCACAGAATTTTCTGCTACAATAAGCAGGGATTTTCCGCTAATGGTAAGCACAGCCATGAAATTGGGCTTTAGTTAGCACACAAAATGCTTGCTTACATGTAAGAAAATCTGTTATCGGCCAAAACATCATGTGCTGTATATTTCACATGAGTTGGTACACATCTTTTTTTTCCCCCCTAACATATGAATCTGCTCAATCTTTTTTTTTCTACATGAAATTGGGCTCCGGTTTTCATCCGGTGTTGAAGAGATGACCTAGCCAATAAGACTACGGTTAAGGCTAGGACTAAGGCTGCATCCAAACTAATGGCTACGGCTCACAATAACACACGTGTCTATGGCAAGTGGCTTCAGCCGCTTCCATAGCCGCATGTGTAATTGTTAGCCATAGCCGAGTAATTGCAAACCCGGCTTATGAAACCAACCTCGGTATTGTGCTGAGGTAGTAGACGACTCGCCGCAGGTCCTCCGGTTTGACTTTATCCAGGTTGGGTCTGGAAGGGAAGGTAAGGATGGGGCCACCTCGCTTATCTCTCCCTCCTAGAATATCAATCAGAATCAGTATTGGAGATGTTAATAATCAGTATTTTATGCAGTGTTTCATAGTCGAGTCCATCACAAGTCCAGTCAAAAGTAAATCACAAGTGCTTTCCCAGAACTAATAAGTAACAGGGGATGAGCAATATAAACAAAAAAAATCCCAAAACCACAGATTTATAGATCGTGACTTGACTTGAAACTGTAGGACATGTAATGGATATGTGATGGGCTCCTGAGGTTATGTGATTGAATCATTCATGACACTGAGTTTTGGACATTTGGTAAAATGTTTCATATCGTGTGATGTCAAAATACATGCTTATGACCTTTGCGCCAAAAATGTAAGCACTACATTGTCAATGCTTGTTAGAAGGCATGTAATGCCACAAAAGAGGTACCAGTACTTCCAAGACTTCCGATGACTTTCTTTTCCATTTTTAACGGCAGACAAGGGAATTTTAAGAAAGAGGAAATCACCTGATCGGAGGAAAAGTTGCATGCCTGAATATAATTCTCTGGGACTCGAACCCCTGACCAACATGTACATGTATCGCTAATCTGTGCCTTAAATCGGTAAAAAGCAAAACCTTGTGTTAGGCAAAAAAAAAAAATAAGTCGGTCTCTGGTCAGCACGCGCGTCGATTTTAATCATGTGCGTCGATCTTTTTTTTCCAAAATGTTCCGCAGTAGCTCCAACAGCGCCCTCTATTTCCACACCTCCTCAATTTTTTTTTTACCAAAGAGCACCAAGGAATGGGAAATTGCACCAAGGCAAATGATCGAAAGCACCAAGGCAAATTATGGAGGACACCAATGTACATGAGGACACCAAAAAAGCAAAATAGTACCTACCTTGTCTGTACAATCCAAGCTTGAAGAAAAAAAAAAGCAAAAAAAAAAAAAAAGCCGCGTGGCCGCGTCAATTCCGGAACTTTGGTCTGACCAGAGACCGAATATTTATTTTTTTTGGCCTTACAGATGATTTTTTTTTTGTTACAACCATTTATAAGTACTGTATATAAAACTTAAACTCCTGCATACACTCATTCCCTTTTTTACCATCTGTGTGGACATTTTATTTGTTTTCAATAAACCACAAAGGAAAACTGACTAGGTGCATTATACATGTAGTTATTTTAAAAAGTTGAACAAAGAAATTGACTGGAGTGGGTTTTGAACCTGCGACCTCAGTGTATCCTCTGGAAGTGATCCATGTTTGCTATAATTTCCCAGGTTTGCAGCATTGCTAATGTTGCTAGCATCATTCAACTTTTAAAATAGATGGTTTTTTTGGTTAGAAACCAAACATGAACTTTCCACTTTGAACTTGAACTTTCGACGGTCATCAAGCCTCAAGTGAAGTAGTAACAGCTAGGCTCTACATGTACCTTCCTAAATCTTGGAAATTCTCTGAGACTCTTACAAGATTTTGAAGAGTCCGAGTGGAAGAGTGTCAAACATAAACAGCTGGGAAGATGCCATGCAATTCATTAAAAATGATAATATACTCTTCCAGTCTCTCTCTCCCCCCCCCCCTATTTGGCACTCTAAACTCCTCCCCTCTTCAGTCCTCTCTCCTCCCTCAAATGAGCCATAAAAGGATACCAAACATGGCTTTCATTATCATTCAATATCATTCAATGACCAGAGAAGGGAAAAAAACAAACAGTTATTGTGTGTGATTCATCCTTAATGATCTGGAAAAAAGCAGGCCAGTTGCTCAACGGACACATGTGTTTTAGATCAGTCGGTACGCTCACCGGAAACTTTCCGATAAATGGGGTTTTAGGATGAATGTAGATTCATTGAAATGCCATCATTTTTTTAAAATAATTACCGGTGGAATGTTTTTGTTACTGAAGGCAGTGAACGGTATATACCATGTCATAGTTGTTCACAAAATTGCATGTTGTGTTAATATGACATCCCTTTCAAAGGAAAAAAGTAATAAACCTGTAATGTAGCCAGAGATCACGCCCAAAGTCACGATGCTAGCAACATTAGCAATTACCACTAGCAACATTAGTAACAGTTTGTTACAACTGATAGTTTTAGGCTTTGCGCAGTGGATTAAGTGTGTCAGTGTCGCTCTGCAATTAAACCGTGTAATAATCCCTCAGGATTGGGGAGATACATGTACGGCTTAAACAGCCCAGCACTAAGCCTCTTCGCTCTTCTAGGGATCACTACATGTAGAGAACACGTGTCAATAATATGAGACCAACTTGTGCTCCATGTGGAAAAGCTGTCACATGACACCAACCAAAACAAGCAAGAGTTGTCCTCACAAGTCTTAGGAAGTCATCCCTGAGTCGGAAGTGGAGTGGCAAACCATCCGGATGAACTGTGACAAACGCTTTCCACTGTCTTTATTTTCACTGTCCCTTTGACTTTGTGGCTGACTGACGACCAACTTAAAGGCGCAAAGGATCATTTGCATTTATCCCAAATGTAACCCAACGAATTATCATCAAAATACTCACTTGGAATAAAGATCGTACTGGTACTAAACACCCAGAGAAATTATTCCGTCTGGCTTGCTGTCATTTACAAGAAATTAAGAAATGTAGGTGATTTCCAATGATCAGTCAACTGACTGACTTTTGGATGTGTACATGTAAATAGTGCTATGGACGAAATTGTGTTTCATGATCAAAAGGTTGTTCATGGTTTTTCACTGCTTTCTCAAAAAGTGTAACTGCCACTGAGTGGAAACTTCAACAGGTTAGGTTTTGAACGTTCTTCTTCGGATTTTGAGTGGTGTTTTTATTGGAAACAAACAAAATGCATGAAAAGCAAATGATCCTATGCATGCCTTTAACAAGTCTATGAAAAAAAAATATATTTGCTTTACAGTCATGCGTGCAGATTCCAAATCCGGTTTGGAATTTCAAACTTTTAAAACTGGTTAAATTAAATCCTCCAGACTTATATCAGACAACATAGTAGAAAATACCTGAGCAATAAGCAATCTTCTCTCTCAGGATAGGGAGAACATCGGACGCTCTCAGCCCATCACAATGGAAGGCACCTGAAAATAAAGGGAGACAAAAAAATACAAATTTATAATTGTGACCAAGCCACACAAAATGTTTCAGAAGTCAGAAAATGGAGGCAACGCGTCCATGCAGTGAAGAAACGGATACCTACATTTGTCGCACTGGTAACTCATCCCAGTTATTTCCCTGAGTAGAAACAAGTGCATCCCTTACACCACTCTCGCAACGGTAAATCCATGTAGAAACATCACATGGCCGACCTACAAAATCCACCAACCGTGGCCACTCACGCAAGCAGCATGTATGCAAATCAAGCCAGGACAGAGAACTTGTGTATGTGTTGAGAGTGAAGCTAAACAATAACAATGAGGCTTCCACGAGCACATCTGGGCATTACAAATCTTGCATCACCACTTTTGTTGGAGCCTTTCTCTTAAGCTCTTGGGGATATGGACCCCGTCTGTGTGTCATTTCACGGCCACGAGCCGGCAACTTATCAGTCCCGCTTTAATTGGCCAATCTACTCGATAAATTATTACTGTCGACAAATGGATTGTGCAGTCTGTAATCCCCACTTCCACAACCCCCCCCCCCCCCACCACAACATCGTCATCGCTTTCGGAGGGCTCATTACCCGTTGATTACCCATAATGCCAAGGTGAAAAACTTCAGGCAGACCGGGGCGATTTTGGAGGGAATGCAGAGGCGTGAGGACTGAATTGTGCCCGGAGATGATTGATTTGAGATACCAGGGGGTGTGATGACACAGAATTCCAATGACTTTGGAGCCATACCACACTTTGACCATCTAGCTAGGCATATGAACATGTTCCAGTAACAAAAGACATAAACTACATGTATATTTTGGAATCTTATTGGATCGTTCCACAAGGTTTTTGAGCGTTTGAGATGGTTACTGCTGCTGAGTTTGCATGAGGCAGCAACAAGTTCCGGCCGGCATCTGTCACGAAGGAGGTGAGATCAAGTTTAAAATTTGGTAAGACATGTGCTTTACGTACAGTACAGGTACAGTACATGTACACATATATGTGACCCGCTCCACAAAAATGAGTCTGTTGTGGCAAAACTGACATTTTGAGTTAACTACATTAATAAAATGGGAATGAAATAAGCTTTCATTTGGTATATCACGGACCTCTCTAGGGCGTTTGGTTGCACTGTTGTGCCTTTTTTAATTCTGTCAAGTTTTTGCAAAGCAAGAAATGTCTCAATGAAGAAAAAGGGGTTTAAAAATTACAAATACACTGTAACTAACCAAGAAAAGCACCAAAAATCATAAATTTGTTAGTCTTTTTCTTACAATATTTAAATTTCTGTGTAAGATATCTGAACTAAAACTATCAAACAAAAAAATAAAACAAAAACAAAAAAAATCCAAATTTTGAGCAAATTTTCACTGTTTCCATTTAAAAGTGGTGAAAGCTGGAATTCAAGCTATGCGACATCAGACTCATTTTTGCAGAGCGGGTCACATATGTGTCCTGTTCTTAATAAGGCCAAAAAAAAAATTCGGTCTCTGGTCAGACCAAAGTTCCAGAATTGACGCGGGAACGCGGCTTTTTTTTTTTTTTTTTGCTTTTTTTTTTTTTTTTCAAGCTTCGATTGTACAGACAAGGTGGGGTACTATTTTGCTTTTTTGGTGTCCTCATGTACATGTACATTGGTGTCCTCCATAATTTGCCTCGGTGCTATCGATCATTTGCCTTGGTGCAATTTCCCATTCTTTGGTGCTTTTTGGTAAAAAAGAAATTGAGGTGCGGCAATAGAGGGCGCTGTTGGAGCTATCATGGAACATTTTGGAAAAAAAAAAGATTGACGCGCATGATTAAAATCGATGCGCGCGCTGACCAGAGACCGACTTATTTTTTTTTTGGCCTAAGACTGGCAAACTTTGTAAAACTTCCACACTTAGTATTATGTGCACTTAAACAATAGGCCTATGGTTTACTTTCCTGGATTAAACAATTGAATTTGAATTTGAACGGTTTGGTAGGCAAAGAATATTCTATTAAGCACGAGAGTCTCTCATTAAGTGTCATACATGTACATGTACATCCAGTATGTAAAAGTAATGTACTTGCAATGTATATTGTGTGATTACAACATGTATGTTTATTCTATGCATTTCCTCAAGGAAAAGGCAACATTTGTGCGAAGTACTGAAAACTGTTAAAATACAATTGTGACAAATAAAAAAGTTTTGAAGACTATAGACAGGTTTACAAGCAACTTCGTAAAATCAAGTGAATTCCCTTTTATGCACCTTAGTTTGGAGATAAAAACTCCATATTTTCAGCTAAAATAACAACATCAAATCTTACAAGACGAGGCCAGAGTTTTTGAAGTAGATTTATGGATCTGTTCAAATAAAGCAGAAATGGAAATGAAGCTGAAGTTGAAGTCTGTGTTACAGATGGCCTGCATCAGAGTTGTATTGACTCAAGTCACAACTTTTGGTGACTCGACTCAACTCGAGTCTACAGGTAACTGACTCGACTCGACTCGATTCACTGCGAGTAAATGACCTGACTCGACTCGAGTCCCTCATCAGAAGACTCGACTTGAGTCAAAGGCTAATAACACTTGAATCCCAAAACTGTGCAAAAATATATTTGGGGTGACTAATGGTACAAAGTCATTTATGTTCGCGTACTTCTCGCGTTACCGTCAAGTTGTGGCCGCTTATCGCGTACAAATATACGCCATACCACGGACTCCTACCTCGTGGTTTGATAACATAGAGCACAAAATATCTTGGAACCAGATTTCAAATGCACTTCACAATTCTTGATTTCATCATCGGCTTCGGGTAATTTCTTAAGCCCTTGAAAGAACTCCAGCTAAATTGATGTCCTGCTTTCAAAAAAAATATTAAGATATATTTCTCCTAATTTATAACAGTTTTGTATGTTTCCATTTGGTTTTGACATTGTCAGCGTAAAAATAATTCCAGATTATGCACAACCCATCCATTGTAGCCACAGCTGAAAGCAGAAGCCATGTTTTGAAATCTGGCCCGTGATGAGCACTGTGCTTTGCTGATGGGATAATAATTGTACGCACAGCAAGCATTGGGTTTCAATATGGCAATTGATTTTCAATATGAGGAAACGAATAACAAAAAAGTACAATGAACATAATACTTGTACCGTACTTTCCAAGTCTCGACAACTGAATCAACATCCAAATCAATTACGCGTTCACATTGTACCTTTGACATTTATCTTTAACGATCCATAATTTGCTCTCTCTGCACAGGTACAATGTATGGTAAGTATCGGGGATTCGAAAGATATCTGTTTCCATATTTTCAAAGTATGGCAAATAAGGACATGCATTAACCAGTTTGAGTCAGAGGATGTGATAACACGCACTGGCTGTTTTTATACACAGGCACAGCCAACGGGTTAAAACATTAAGCATGCCTTGAATGGCCTCCGGGTGACATCTAAACACGCCAATCCAAGCCTATAGTTCTCGTTTAAATGACGTCATTTCCTACAGACGAGCCACGTGCATCGGCATTTTGAGCGTCAACTTGCATTTGTAACACGCATCAGCTGGGTCGTGTTTCGAACACATTTCGAGCAACAAGCGCGCGTGTTTGAAACATTTTAACACTGCGCATTGCATGCTCGATTGCGTAAAATACGCAGTTGCACTTCTCCTACAGAAATGGCCGTCATTGAACGAGCCCTATTGACCCGGCCCGGAGTGTTGAAAAATATAAAATTTCAGCAAGAAAAATCGTACAAATACTGTTGAAATGACTCTTGCGAATCAGTATTTGTGGTGTTTGACAGTAAATAAGTTGGCTGCTATATTTGGCCTTTTTCGAAAATTGAAATTTTCGGCAAAAATAATTCCGTCACGAACTGGTTAAGATTAATAACATATTGAACATAAAGCGTAGGGGATAACACATGACCATGTAGTGGTAGGCAATTTAGACTTTAATTGAAGGCATGAAATTACACTTTTTCAAGCACAAACATGTCAAAATTGTTTTAAGATATGCCATATGGGTGAAAAATGGCATTGACAATATCCTAAATTAAGAAATGGCAGCCATTTACAGAAAATGTTCAAAAATGTTGGCACGCGTGTATGAGATATGGTCATCGTTATTCCAAGTCTTTTGCATGCAGTGCTATTGTTTTGACCATGTCTGATAGACTTGCGTGTGGACAAACTGGTACGACATGACGCGAAAAAATTACTTTAGGAGAAGGGGGGGGGGAATTCAAACAAACCACAGAAATACAAAATATTGGAGAAAAGCATAACCATGGTCAAGAGATGTACATGTAAATAGAAGAATAATGGAATTTGAAGAAGATATATTTTTATCTAAATTCCTCTGCTTGTGCTCCCCAAATCAACTCTGCAACCTCCTAAATTTGAATTAAAATCATCATAGGACAAAATTCCAATAAATGTCAAGACAGATAAGGAACCAAAAACCTCATCCCAACACCCATCTTGACTCTGAGTCATATAAGTGTAATTTCTTTGCATCTTTAACAGCCATATAAATTATGGAAAATGCTGACGCCCTACTGTTTTTTATGACCTAATAATTCCTGCCCGGTTGATACCGTTACATTAGCCTCAAAAGCCTACCATAAATTTTGACATAATTTTTTTTATTTTGTCCATCTGGTACATGTATCAGAATCTTCTCTTGGGGCTTACTATATGACACTACCCATGCTCGAATCCCCAAAGTCAAGGGCGTCAAGTGACTGCATTGTGTAGATGAACGGCGTGTATCACCTAATCAGGGGTAACCAATACCCTTTATGGGGGGTTGTCCTCACGGGAATCAAGGAGTCTCCAGAATCGATGAGTCACACTCCCGAGGAAAACATAAACAGCGAGCGAATTCGCTGAAAGATGTTTACAATGGACCTAGTCTAACAACAGAGGGCGCTGTACACGTACCGCTGTGAGGGAGAGTGCCTCATCTGGGCCAGTTATTGCAATTAGAATGGACTCCTTGCACAAGTAC